TTCCTCAAGCCACTCCTCCACTGAATAAAACCCGGGTGCCACCCTGTGTCAGCCTCTTTGTTCCGGAAAGCCATCTTCATGGCTGGACTTAGGGCCCCTTGGCTCCTCAATAATTATAAATATGTTTTAGTGTCTTTACTTTCACCGTGGGTTGCAACAGGAGTGGTAGATTGGAATTAACTTGGTGGGACTCCAATAATGTATCTTTGGGATTACAAATATTAATTTCTTGGACTGAGAGGAGAACCTGGAGGGGACTCCTATAATTGGTGCCCAATGTGGGGCACATGTGAGCATGTATCTATAAAATCATGAATATATTTAGGTTTGCTAAAAGAGGATATATGGGTAATCATTTGCCATGACCAATTGGTTCTAAGACTTCTGGGATGGTAGCTCTTTTGAGGAACAGGCCTAGGGATGAGCTGACAAGTAAGATATGACATCACGATTTCTCTAGTTTGCCCTCTGATAATTTTACATTTCCTTAGCAAAAGTTTAGAATTTTGAGAAACAAATTTACAGCACTGTCTTGCTTTATCAAAAATGAAAACCAGGTTCACAATAGCATCTGTACTATAACAAGCTGATGACAATAAACCTGGGAGATTAGAGTGAAACCTAATAAGATCAAGAAAGAATGCAGCAGTTCTACTTAATGTAACTCCTAGCAATTCTAAAAACAGTTATGATAAAGTAGGTTTGAGATAACTCAATTATAGTTGTTCTCTTACCAATGTAGATGAAATCTGTAACTTTTCCTACAGAGTACCAGTGGCCTTCATTATAAATCCAATTTTATCTTTTTTTGTTTAAGTAAAAGCAGAATTGTAAGAGTACAGTCCTGCAAATTTTTCATTAAACCTTTGTTTTCTTGATATTTCATCTTAGCCATCATCCTGCTATCTGGTAACACACACCTCTGAGCCTCAGGAGTAAGTAAGTGTCCAATTCTTTCTTGAGGTCTATACACCATAGATTTACTGGAATGGGTGCAATAAATGGTGTTAAAATATCTTCTTGTCTATCAGAGCCAATGTATAAAAGAGGCAGCACACTCTGTGAGACAGACTGAGGAGATCCTAAGCCTATCAGAGCTGTGGAGGTGAGTCCAGTTTGCCAAGCAGACAGCCATGATTGACTATTGATTATAGTGACATTAGTCCCTATATCCATCAGTCTAGTAAAAGATTTTCCTTTAAACTTAATGTTATAAATAGGTCTAGGAACCAAGATATTCTGGGAAAAATCAACTTCTTTGCTTAAAGGCACATCTCTACTGGGTTAAAGGTAGGAGTGGAAATTTCAATGGGAATTAAATTGGGCTTTCCCCACCTCCAACAAATCAAAGTAAGAAGCCACTGGTAAATCTAACTTTGAGTGGTTCTTTGTATGAGGCACCTAAGGTGTCACCTTGGCCTTGCACCTGTCCTGGCAGTGGGATAGTCCTTTGTCTGGTTTGAACTGGGTATAACTGGCTTAACTGGGTCCAAATCACTGGACTTGAAGGGTCCTGACTGACCCTTCTTTTGTTATTGCTACTGGGGCCCTCAGTTTGGGCATACAGTTTTTTTTTTTCATCAGCAGTGTGCCATTTTTATGAAACATAGATTGACAATTTTTGCCCAGTGAAAATCTTTCATTCATGCAACATGGACAAAGAGTACTGGGTAAATTTACTGAGGGGGCTGGCACCTTTATAGGCTGTAGGCAGTGTCAGTGAGTATGTCCTTGCTTGCCACAATTAAAACAGTTAACCATGTCAAATTTATTAGCAAAGTGTTGAGATATAGCCTGTGCCATAAGAGGAGAAGTGTGGGCAGCAGAGCCAATATTTTGGCATACACAAATATAAGCAGATAAATTTTTTGTATGAAGTATCAGGGCTAAGCCTCTTTTACATTCATCATTGGCATTCTCATGCTAATTGATGAATAAGCATGTTAGCTGCAATGCTGTGAGGAATCTGCTTATTTATAGACTCTTTTATTCTTCTTACAAACTGGGTGTAAGTTCCTCTAGGACCCTGGAGTATGTGGGTATTTATTAGGTATTTATGAGGTGTACCATTCTCTGGGACAGAAATCCATGCATGATGTAGTAGCTCTTTACATTGCATGAAAGAAGAGGTCTGGAGCCTAGGCCTAAGCTTTTAAGTCAGCGTATTGGCCTAAACCAGATAACATTTCATATGTGATAGCTTTAATAGTTTCATCTTCATTATTTTGATTACTCTGTGTCTGTTCTGATACAAGTTGTCTTAATTCTGATTCAAAATGTAGGACTCGTGTGGGGGACAGACATATGTGAGCAAGATGTGTTATATCACTTGGTTCTATTTGGAAGCCTTGAATTATGTTATCCAAACAAGCAAGAGTATAGAGAGCTTGGGCTCCATTGTCTAATATGCTCTCCCTTAAGTCTTGTAAGAGCAAAAGGTTCAAAGCTTTCTTCATTTCTGTGTACTTTGGCTTTTTCGCAAGTGAGGAACGAGGGGGGCTGTTACTGAACTGACTCTGTGGCATGAGGGAGAAAGGGACTGTGGGAACCACAGTCTCTGAGGCGTCATCTTCCAAATTAGGTGTGGAGAGTGAATATGAGTGTGTGCATAAATTGGAAAAGTTTTCCATCTCTTTATGAATATCTTGCAAAAATGAATTTTTTGGACTATTTGCACTTTTTAAACAAGCTTCTTTTTTCTCCAGCAGCGTATTTGGAGGCAAGTGACCTTGGGGGTGATCTGACTGTTTTGTTATGATAACATCAGAGTCCTTTTCCCTATCAATTATCTTATTCATAGGCATTTTGTTGGCACAAGTAGAATGTTTTGTAATAGTAAACAGGTGCTGATCTGCATTTATTCCTGGGCTGTTACGTTGCAAGGATAAGATAGCTCCCTTTACCAGATTATACATAGCTATAGTTTGTGGGTAAATTTTTCTTTTTTGAGTTTTGGATACATAAAAGCTTTTACCTATTTCATTCCAAATTCTGAGATCCAATGTACCAGCTTTGGGAAAAGAAGGACAGAATGTAGCTATCTCATGGAGCAATCTGAAAACTTGGTTAGATGACACCTTAATGTCTGCATCCTGTAACAGCTTCATAATCAATAAACTAATTTTTTTGTCTCCTGTAGATAAAAACTGAGCTTGCCCCATTGTTACCCTGGATGAATAGATTCTTATTGGCTACTTGTGTCTGAGCACTATAATTAGTAAAATGCTCCACCTATCTCTAAGTTAGTTACACAAGGTCCAGTGGATTGTCCCCACCTGATTTTGGTTAGTGGTCATTGTGTTGAGAAGGTCATGCATTCAGGCCACGTTGAGTGCCAATTGTAGGAGAACCCTCCAGGTTCTCCTCTCAGTCCAAGAAATTAATATTTGTAATCCCAAAGATATATTATTGGAATCCCACCAAGTTAATTCCAATCTACCACTCCTATTGCAACCCACGGTGAAAGTAAAGACACTAAAACATATTTACAATTACTGAGGAGCCAAGGGGCCCTAAGCCCAGCCATGAAGATGGCTTTCCGGAACAAAGAGGCTGACACAGGGTGGCACCCGGGTTTTATTCAGTGGAGGAGTGGCTTGAGGAACAATGACTGAGAATTGTGGGAAGTAGGTGAGTACTGTGAGCTGAGCTAGGTAGGTGGCCTACATTTACCTCTGCCATATGCAGAGAAAGTAATTTGCATTATGCTATTGAGATAGTATCTAATGTTTTGGGCATCTGGTGCTCAGCCAAAATGGAGACAATCATTCTTTTATCAAGAACAGCTGTTCAGGTGGTCCTCCATAAGTAGCTAGCCTGTGCTCGATGCTATTGTTACTGCTAACTGTACTGCTTTAGCCAGGACATCATACTTGCTGTAATCAGTTTTTATACTGTAATATCAGTTATGGGAATGAAAACAGATCTTCATGAATTTTGTGACAAAAAGGATACCATCTTTAACACTGATCTAATTAGTTTTGTACCTAGTTTTTTTTCTATATCAATACTGGCACTATACCAATCAGTAAACACATTTTATAAGATTATTTAACTATTTTACTTGTTAGCAAATGTATCTATTTGATAGCAAAATAAGCTAAGTCATGAAAATAATACCTTTTAGTTTTCTTTGGAGAGTAAATAATTCTTCTATCAATTCATTCTTCTGTTTCTGAAGTTCATTTAATTGGCCACTGTCATGTTTCATTGACTTTATTTCTATAAATTATAGTAACATAAAAATTATATGGGAATAACTTAAATAATATATATCATGTATATTATAACTATTATAATATAAAACACTGAGAGAAATTGAAAATAAAAGTAAACAAAGATAATCCCATGTTTACAAATCAGAAAAATATTTAGTAAAATATGTACACTACCCAAACCAATATATAAGATTTAATGTAATCACCATCCAAATTTCAATGGCATTATTCATAGAAATAAAAAGTAAATATCAGCTAATTTGTTGTTTATTGATTAGTACACACAATTCAGCAGGCTTTAGTATAACACAAATTTCTGCACCTTAACTTTATTTTGAGATATTCATCACTCAGAGAAGAAGCTCCATTCCTGATATGAATCAGTGCAAGATTTCTCCACCTCTGCCAACCCTAGGCAACTAGCAATCTACTTTATTTCTTTTTGAATCTTCTGACTCTGAACATCTTACAAAAATGGAATCATATATTATATGGTCTCTCATTTCTGGCCTTTTGTATTATTTCAAGGGCCATGCATGTTGTAGCACATATCAGTGTTTTATTTATTTTTTATGCCTCAATGAAATTCCATTTTGTATTTATACCAATTTTGTACTTGCACTCAGCAAATGATATTTTGGGCTATTTACATTTTGTCTACTATGAATAATGTTATCATAAATAATCATGTACCAATTCTTACATGGATTTTTGTTTTTAATTCTCTTAAATTCCTAGGAGTAAAACTGCTAAGTCATATAATAACTCTAGGTTTATTTATTCATTTTTATGTGTACTGGGAATGGAATTCAGGGTCTTTGTACTGAGATTCATCCTCAGTATTTTTCAACTTTTATTTTAAGAGCGCTGTTGCCCAGGATGGGCTTGAACTATCAGTCCTCCAGCCTCCACTGACCAGAATGCTAGGGTTATAAGCAGAAATTCTGAGGAACAGTCATATTCCAAAGAAGTTGTGTGACTTTTGCATTCCTACTTGCAACTCATGGCATTTCCAATCTCTCTGCACTCTTACTACACTATCATTACCTATCTCTACGACAGCCTCCTCACTGTGGTTTTTATCTGCATTTCCATGATGACTAAAGGTCTTTAGCATTTTCTTGTGTATCTTTTTTTAAAAAATAAATGATAATATAATCCTTAGCTCATTATTAAGGGGCTGTCTCTTTATTATTGTATTGCAAGACATATTCTGGATCTGAGTCCTTTATCAGGCATATTACTTGAAAATATTTTCTCCCATTTTTGTGGTTGTCTTTAATTTCTGGATAGTAACTCTTATTAAACACATGAGTTTTTCATTTTTAATGAAGTCCAAATGACCTATTTTTGATTATATGTGCATGTGTAAAAAATTCACTAATACACAGTTATGAAGATTCACAATTATATTTTCTTAAGCATTTTATATTTCTTCAGTCTCTAGTACCACAAAAAGTTTTATATTCTAGCTCTATATCCATTTAGTTAATTTTTTGTGTATCATGTGAAATGCATTGATGGAAAAATCATGTTTAATTCATTTTGAGTTAATTTCTGTGTATTGTTTACATGTATTATTTGAATATGGATTATGTCAGGATTATTTTAAAAGAGTAATCTTTTTCACTGAATTGCCTTGGCATCCATGTCAGAAGCTAACTGACTATGGAGAAAGAGTTTTTTTCTGGACTCAGTTATATTCCATTGATCTTGCTTATCTGTACACCATATTACCCTATCTCCATTTTTTTTTTTCAATCAAGGTTGAAGTAGGAATTATGAATTCTCAAACTCAGTTCTTCTTTTTTAAGATTATTTTCGCTATTCTGGACACCTTATATGTTCAGGTGAGTTTCAGGATCAATTTGCCAAGTTTTAACAAGTGACTTTCTGAGATTTTGACAAGGATAGCACTGTATCTTTAAATATACTTGAGAATACTGTCATCTTAGTAATATTGTCTCCCATTCTACAAACAGTTTTTCATGTACTTATTTATTTTCTTTCAATGTTTCTTAGAGTTTTTAGCTACACTGTTGCACTTTTGTTAAATGTATTCTTAAGAATTTTATTTTTTGGAGCCGTCCAGACAACTAGGCAGATTAAAGTGCCTACTTAGGCAAATGCAGGGACTGGGGTTCAATTCCTGGCATGCCATGCCAGCCCTGCCCCTGGGGCACACTAAGACAGTGGAGACAGTGACTGAGACTGGGTGTGGTGGCACACACCTATAATCTCAGAGCTTGGGAGACTGAAAGCAGGAGGATCACTGTAAGTCCAACCCGTGTAGTGAGACCCTGTACTAAATACATAAAAAGAATTTTATTTTTATTTTTTTAGTGTTATTATAAATAAAATTTTCTTAAATTTACTTATAAATTGTTTCTAATATTTAGAAGCTAATTGATTTTTGATCTTATATCCTTAAAAGGCTGAGTCTGTTCTAGATTTAAAACTCCAATGTTTCAATCAATAGCAAAGTTTTATGGCTATGAACATTAAGCCAAACTAAGACAATTGAAATTCATTCCATTATTTTAAGATGTGAATTATGTTTCATATATTTATATTATCAATCATTAGTGGATATTACCAAGAAAAGAAGTACAATCTACATCTTATCACACATCTGAGAAAAACCAATTCACCAAGTTGGAGAAATTAGTAAGAATATTTTAAGAAAAATATTACAACAGTATTATAGTCATTATTTTCCTAAGTGTTCAACAGTAATCAAAGTAACTTGTTAAAGTGTGAGTCCTTTCACTTCCTGGTTCACAATCCTACAATGGTTTCTAATTGTATTCTAGTAAAAGTCATTAGACTAACCCACAAAGTTTTAAGTGATGTGAATTATTGTCATCTTTCTGAACACAGGACCGCTCCTTTTTACTACATATAATTTAGATTCTTTGATTTTACTCAAAAGTGGACCAGGCACAATCCCACTTACCAGCTTTTTATTTTCCCTTATCGGTGAAGCTCTTTTTACCCGGGGGCTCATCTGGCTCATTTCCTTACCAATTTAGGGTTTTACTCAAAACTTACCTAACAGTGGGGCTTCTCTTCTTTATCTCCCAGCCCTCATCCCTCCATCCTCACTTTTCTATCTTTTCTACATGTATGTCAGATGCATAAAAGTAGATATTTTCTTTTTCTTCTCTCTTTTTTTCCTTCGGTAACTGCAGTTAACAACAGTGCCCTATAACAATTCCTGATACATAAAAGTTGTGCAGTAAATAACTCTTAAGTGAATGAATGAATGAATGTACTGTGCAAATTTCACAAATGCTATACCTCTGCAAGCAAAGAAGTTCCTATTTCTATAAAAATTTATACTTTAGTTGGGGAGTAGATATGAATCAGTAAGCATACAAATATGTAGTTATATTATTCTGAAGAAAAATACAAAGATCTATGAAATAATATAACCAGAGGAACTGAGATAATATGGAACTTGAAAGTGGGTGGTGTTAATGGAGAAGAATTTCCTAAGAAAGTAATATTTAATGTGAGATCAGAAGAATGACTGAATTAAGTAATTAAAATGTAAGAAAAGGCTCCCAAATATAACATACTTAAAAGCCTTGAGGTAGGAGGAAGCAAAGCTTCAACAAAAGCAAAAGAGATTAACGTGCCTTTTGTATAAATAGCAAAGGTGGATGTGTGAAGCTGAAGGAAGAAAGATGGTATAGATGGCAAAACATGTTGAAGAACTTGGTTTGTTGTGTTTGTCATAGTATTTTTACACAGAGGAGGAATTAAAAGAGTCAATATAATAGTGTGGTAATATCTTTTGGGGTCAGGGATATAGCTCAGTGGCACAGTGCCTGTTTTTCAAGTATGAGGTCCTGAGTTTGAAGCCGGATACAATAATAATAATATCTATTTTATTACTACATGTTTGTAGTACATAGCATTACACTCCTTGTGGGGAATTGGTACATGTACATAGAAACATCTTCATTCTTTATTTCATCCCTGTTCCTTTCCCTACCTCCTCTCCCCACCCATAAATATTAAAAATATATGGACAGTAATTAGGCAACCTCAAGATATACAAACAGAATCTAACTCTGAGATTAAAACATAGTAAATCAAAGACTTTGTCTGGAGGTGGTATAAAAACACCATTGAGCAGTAGAAATTAGTAAAATCAGCAACCAAAAGGTAAAAATTGAGATGATTAAAAAAACCAATATGACAGGCTGGTTTATCACCACTAAGAACTAAAACGAAGTGAGAGGTCAGAAGAGGCAAGCACCCAGGTTCAATCCCTGGCACTGCATGGCCCTGAAACCGGTGCAGGCCACTGAAACCAGGCATTGTGGTGCATGCCTATAATCCCGGAGCTGGGGAGGCTGAGACAGGAGGATCACTACAAGTCTAAGCTGCACAGAAAGACCCTGTACCAAATACATAAAAGAGTTTTTTTAAAAAAGAAAGAACAGATATACATGAATTCAAAAAAGAAATGGAAGAGCAAATAATGATATGCAAGAAGACAAATGGAAACTAAAACTACCACAGAAAGAAAATATTTCTGATACATGCTCATAATAGAACTCTTTTTTCTATCTCTACTGCCAAAGGGAGAGGAGGGAAATCACCAGAAATAGCTCTCATAAGCAACTTGCTCCAAACTTGGACAGAACAAATAATTTTAGTATTTATATTTATCCAACTAGAAAAACAAGCATTTGCTTTCCCTTGTAAAGTCAATACAACACATATAAAATGGATTAATCTCACTTATAAATATGGATGCAAAGCTAAAAATTATATCAAATAATTCAGGAATATAAAGAAAGCATGAGCTCAAAACTAAGTAAAGTTAATGATAGGATATTTATCAATAAAATTCACTCTTAATCATCTTGAAAAGGGCAGGCTGGGGAATCAAGACAAGGAAGTGTAAAGAAAGTAGAAGAGGAGAAACAGATCTTCAATTTCACATCATGACTAATAAAACTCTAGAAATATTTGTACAAAAGTTAGTAA